TGCAAAGGTCCCCTACCAGCTAACGCAGCGCGGATCCGCCATCTTCGACTCCTATCAGAGACCAGCAAACAGGGTACAAGAAAGCAGCCTCACGGAGCATCCAGCGGGAGACAAAACAACCGGTAATTTGCGATATATGCTTTCCCACCCCCTACCCTTGTTCACCCCGACTTGGCCTCCTCTGCTTCCCGTGGCCACAGTCTCTTCACCGGGAAACAGTGGCTGCTTGGATTCCACACACCCGAACAGGTGGCTCTCTGAGTGCCATTTGTTGGCTGCTGGTGTTGCTTTTTTCCGCTTCTTATGATTTCTTCTTGCCTCTCGTCACCTACCCCTCCTTTCGCTCGAGACCTCACTCCATGCGCCATCTTTGCTTCTTCCTGAGGGGCTGCAGAGCTCTGGTAATTTGTGATATACGCCTTCCTACTCCCTACCCTTCTTCACCCACACTCGGCCCCCTCTGCCTCCCGTGAACACAGTTTCTTGTCCAGACACACCAGCCTGCACTAGCTGGCTCTCTGAGTGCCATTTGTTGGCTGCTAGTGTTGCTTTTTTTTTTCCTGCTTCTTTTGATTTCTTCCTTGACTCTCGCCACCTCCCCCTCCTTTCGCTCGAGTACCTGGCTCCGTGTGCCATCTTTGCTTCTTCCTGAGGGGCTGTGGAGCTCCGTTCGAGTGTGGAGCTGCTGCCCGGTCTGGGCTGCTGCGCTGGTGGGATCCCAGGGCTTTTGTTCGTTTGTTTGTTTTGAATTATTTGTTTGTTTTCTTTTCCTTTTCTTGAGTTGGGAGCCCTTTCTGGCCAGGCGGAGCTGCGTGGCAAGGAGACTCCCCTTCGGCTTGCACAGAAGTGCAGAGAGGGATCCCTGAGGGCATTTCTTTTTTTGTTGGGTTTTTTTTTTTCCCCTGTTTCTTTTGGGGGCCTTTCTTGTTCTTTTTTTTTTTAACTTGTTTTGTTTTGTTTTCCCTCTTTTTTCCTTTTTGTCTTTCTTCATTGCTCAGTTTCTCGTCTCTCTATATCTTCCTTCTCTTTCTGTTCCCTGAAAACCTGGCATTGTGTACCTCTACGCCTTCTAGCCAGGGTGTACTGCAACACCTGAGAGCGACTTCCCCAGACCTCGTAGCTGCACCGGTGGGATCCCTGGGAACTTTGTGGTTCTTTAACCTTTCTGATTTTTATTTATTCATTCTTTTCTTTTCTTCCTCTTCCCCTTTCTGTTTTTCTCCATTTCATAGTCTCTCATCTCTCCACTCCAACGGCAAGCTCCCCTAGCATTCTTTTTTGTTTGTTTATATGTTTTTGGCTCATGTTCCTTTCTCCTCTCTCCCATATCCATCTTAGCTCCACACATAACAGTCTCCCCGCTGTATCCTGCCTACCTGCACCATGTGCTTGACATCACACTGCTAAGCAGCACAGGCACGGCCTACTGGAACCTGCCCTGCACTGATTACCGACCC